AATGGCATGCTTCTTAGCCTTCTCAATCACAAGAAGCCCATAATCATCATGCCCTTTGCTCTGGCATGTTTCCACACACCTGACAACTAATCAAACATCAAAATAAAATAAAACACATCATACACAAAAATCATAGGGTATTAGCTGAATGCAAATATGCTGCATAATTGCTCCACAACATAAAAAGATACAACAAGCTGGAGTCACAGATGTATTGTTAATCAACTAATCGTAAGATGGGCGTTCCACCTGGAAACACATATATGAATAGTTGAATACATGATCCTACTTCATGACAAGCCCAATCTTCACTTAGCCTCTGTTTGAACCCCATTTCTTGAGAATAGATTTTGTAAAAAGTAATTTTTTTTTGTTTTTTTGGAGAATGTGAAATTAAAAAGTAGGAAAACTTTTTGAGTTTAAATGCAAAATTATTTTATTGGTAAAATGTATGGTTGAAAATGAGTTTTAAAGAATGGGGCTTAAACAAGGGCTTAGTAAATAGAGTCTAAACAATTTCAATGTAGTAAAAGGAGATTCTCAACAAATTGTCAAGAGAAGGCAATAGCAATCTTTCCACATGTACAAAAATTTCCAAACAAATTCATTTAGTCCCCTATTTGGTTTGGATTAAAATCAGATTTTTAATAGATTTTGATAAATCAAGATGAAATGTGTGGTTGAAAAGTTTCTAAAAGTTATGTGCCAATAAAATGCGTGCTTGAAAATAAGTATGAAAAATGAGTTTTAAGAAATGGGGGTCAAACAAGGGTTTAGTTACTCAACCAATTGAGTTAAACAACTGACTAAATCGAAACCACCTATCAAGCAAGATTGCCATCCAACCACACTTCATGACGAGCTCAATATTCATACCAATAACCCAAATTCATTAGTCTCAGCAATTTCAATGCTATAAAAGGAGATTCTCGACAAAATGTAACTAGAAGGTTGTGGCCATCTTCCACAGATACAGAAATTTCAAAAAAATTCCACATTGGTAACATAGGCAAGACTACAATTTTAGATTAGAATTAACAGATACTTACAGAAACCATGCATTTTCGCAATAAGCCACCACATACAGAATAATAATACAGTAATACTTTTAGCATATAGTATTAGATAATCTTGTCATACATGAGTCGAAATTTGTAACTACGCAGAAATTACAGAATTCTAACGAGAAAAACATAATATAGAAAATGAAAATAGTATTTATAATGAAATTCACCATAAATCCAGTAGAATCAGACCTTTATAATCCTCTTTCTCAGACACAACCCAGCTCCCCTCCAATGTATGATCAAACGACTCGTAGAATTTCTGTAAAGAAAAAAAAAACATGAATTTCTACGAAAACAATAGAGATCCAAAAAATATTGAATCGACATACAGTAAACAATACACCGACAAATAATTGTACTAAAAGTGCTGGCGTATGAACATATACGTTCGCTTACCATGCCGTTTGAAGCATTGAGCTGAGAAACGAAGCAACTTATAGATAACGACAAAAAAAGGGGAAATTATTGAAAATAC